AAGAACATAATGATATGAAGAGCACGCAATTATTTAATGGAATTTTGAATTATTTATACCTTTGAGGACTAGTTCTACAATAATTAATATTGAAAGGTTTTAAATCAACTAGTTTTTTATAGGCCAGAGACCAACTTATAATTTCTTGAATAGATTGGGAACTAGTAATGTAATTTTTTGCTTTCGTTATGGCTCCAGTCCAGTAGATTCCTTCAATAAGCATGTAGTCAAAGACCTGGCTCTTCCTACTAGGAAGTTCGCGACTGCATTTTCTATTTCACTTTTCGACGTAAATTCTTTTCATCCTTTTTCTCGCGATACTATTTCCCTATTGGCCACTCTACAGTATTTACTTTTTAACCTTTGCAAAGTTATCCTTACTGATTCACACTGAATTTTTTACATGTGAGTTGAAGATTTGAGTATCTCAAATGAGGTTATTGAGAGTGAAGAAGAACATAGTGATATGAAGAGCATGCAATTATTTAATGGAATTTTGAATTATTTATACCTTTGAGGACTAGTTCTGCAATAATTAATATTGAAAGGTTTTAAATCAACTAGTTTTTTATAGGTCAGAGATCAACTTATAATTTCATTAATAGATTGGGAACTAGTAATGTAATTTTTGCTTTCGTTATGGCTCCAGTCCAGTGGATTCCTTCAATAAGCATGTAGTCAAAGACCTAGCTCTTCCTACTAGAGAGTTTGCGGCTTCATTTTCTATTTTACTTTTCGATGGGAATTCTTTTCACCCTTTTCTCGCGATACTATTTTCCTATTGGCCACTCTACAGTGTTGACTTTCTAACCTTTGCAAAGTTATACTTACTGATTCAAACTGAATTTTTTACATGTCCCAAGCTAATTGAGTCAGATCATAAGCTACTAATGCTTTCGATTGGTTAGTTAACTTTCATCATCTATGATGCAGCATTACTACTTTGCTAATGGTCACCCAGGAGTATTTAGCCCTATTAGTGCTCTTTGCTGATTCACGATGGATTTAACATGTTCTATGTTAATCAAAGTGATGCTTAGTGCTAATTGACTTTGGCATCTAGGATGAGACATTAATGTTGCAGGACAATTAATTTTTTCACATTAAGCCATGTTTTAGTTTAGCTAAAAATAAAAGATTATAAAAGTTAATAAAATATATGGTTGAAATGTTAATAAAAGTTGTAGATTGGATGAAATATGTGGTTATAACTAGTTATTGAAATTAGATTTTCATCAACATTTTTCTTTATTATTATTATCTAAACCAATTTGGGCAAAATAATGTTCTGGGATGATTTCCAATTATGATTAAGTTGCCCTACAATACAGATTTGATTCCCAAATTCCTCGCAGGAGTTGACTTTGTAGTGACTTTTTTCTGAAACAGGTCAATCGGACTAGATGTAGGGAGACCCACTCATAAACATAGGAACGGTTCACATTGTGTTATAGATGCTTTGTGTAATAATGCTTTAATAATGCTAATCGCTATGCTAATTTTGTCTCTAGATACAAGTGGACTACGGAGGTACAATTATTTAATTTAAAATAAAAAAATTGATTGATTGATTTATTTCAAGACTCAATATTGGTATATATTTAAATGTTTAATGTAACTTGAGATGTACAAAGCAAAGTTGGGATTGGAACATCTAATGTCACTATGCATTAGATACAATTAACAAGAAATCAACATTAATTTTCATGTTTATTAAATTCTCCTAACCTCTCGGGACATCCAATTAGTGATGTCAACAACTCGGCTTGAGTCGAGTCGGGGTAACCTTTTACACCCGATTACCCATTTAAGACAGTCTTTTATTATTTATCATATTCCTTAAATAATCTTAGCTGTCATCTTTTATTAGAACTAATAAAATTTCGTGGAATTTTCCATCACAGTGAAGCACCCCTGTTAGGAGGCAAATGTCGCCAATCGAGGAAAAGGTCCAGCATTTCGACAATCAAGTCAACGATCGGACAAAAATAGCAATAGTGCAAGAGAGGGTGAAGGGATTTGGTTAGAATTAGAAAAATATACTTATGTGTGAATGAACCCACATGTATATAGGAAAATACAAATGGGCCACGTTGGTCAAGCCTAAACCCAAATACAATTACTTAGTTAAATATGCCAATCCAATCTCAAGATGCTATTATTTAATTAAATATGCTCAATCAATTGCATAATCAATGCCAAGTTGGTATTTATGAGACCCCTTTATCATGCACATATTATGTAATTTATAAGTGTAACAAAAGTCCCCAAGTCAAAGTCGTACATTCATGTGCATATAGAACATTAAAAAATAAGTTGTCAAGTAGGCAAGGTATTACAGATTACTTCAAAAATATGAATAGCTCCAATAGACAAGGACTTACGAACTGCCAAGAAAATATGTATCAATCTCAAATAGGTGATAACTTACGAATTACCTTGAGAACATAAGTCTATCCAATAAGTGAATCTATTGACATTAAAAAGTGCACCAACAGAATCCCGATCACGTTCCCTCCATGCAGACGTTACGTACACATTGTAACACTCCATTAGAAAGAAAATGCCTCCAGTCGAGAAAAAGGTCCAACACTCCTATGGTTAAATCAGCGACCGAACAAAAATAGAGAGAGTGCAAGAGAGGGTGAAAGGGTATGGTTAGAGTTCGAAAACATACGTTATGTGTGATGGGTCAAAAATGTAAATGGGCCACATGGTTTAATGGGTCGAGCTCAAACCCAAAATGCAGTTGCTTAATTAAATAGGCCAATCCAATCCCAATATGCTATTATTTAATTAAATAGGCACAATCAATTGAACAATAGATATCACGTCGACATATATGGGACTCCCTCCATCACATGCATACCACATAATTTATTAGCGTAACAATAGTCCCCCAAAGTTTGAGTCGTACATTCATGTAGTGGTCGGACATTGAAATTTAAGTTGTTAAGTAGACAAGATCTTATAGATTGCGGTTGAAATATGAGTAGTTCCAATAAATAAGGACTTACGAACGTCATGGAAGAAGCACCTAAATGAATGAATCACCCACCAAGTATGGAAGCATGGGTGCTTCAAAGAAAATAATTAGATCTCAAAAGGGATTACCTCATTGATTTTCTGATATGTACAACACATGCCTCCCTTGACGAAATTGAACATCGTGGAAGAATAAAAGGCTATTGAAAAACGTGTTTAAAGTTCAAAATGTTCTTATGACTAATCATTTTTGAAGGATCATTCGTTTTTGGAGGTTTCCATATTTAGCCCTTGTTTAAGTCACAATATTTTCATAAAAATACATTTTTGAATAGTGTAATGATGGAAAATGTGTAATTAAAAAATATGAAAAAAATTTGAATTTGTATGTAACATTATTTTATTGAAAAATGTGTAGTTGAAATGATGTTAACTCACTAATTTAAAATGTATTTTTTTTTTCAAATAATGTGAATTAAACAATGCTTACTACAGTTTACATTTGCAAATTAAGCTCTTGTTTGAGCCCTGATTTTTCAAGGATGCATTTTTTCAAATATCATTTTCAACCACAAATTCTCTTACAAAATAATTATACACATATTTTGGAAAAAAAATTTTAATTTTTAACCACATATTTTCCAAAAAATCACTATTCTATAATACATTTTACCCCAAAATGGGGATTAAACAAGGGCTAAATTATTTTAGTTATGCACCTAATTGAGGTCCCAATACTTGCAAATTAAATTGTGTTTTTGAGATCCCAATTCAATTAATGAAAACATGAGAATATAAAAATATTCACTTCATTGATAAAGAAATATTTACAATAGAGAGCTACAACGATTATACAGGAAATAAAATCAAAATCTTAAACTATGTTGAAGGTAGCAGGGAGTCCGACACCTTAGTAGTAGGCACTTCAATGGCTGGAGCCAGGGACGAAGCTAGGATTTGAGTTCAGTGCGGGCAACTTTTTTCGACGCCGAACGTCAAGGTTTTTGGTCATGGATTTTGTGATGATAAAAAAATACTCCAATTTCACATTTCACCGAAGAAGTTTTTGGCTACACTGAAGAAGTTAGATTCGTTGATAGCACCGCTATTTCGGTTGTCGACAAGAACGGCTAGTTGGGCGCATTTTCGCTCTGAGGTTGAATGGTAGCCAATTGGCGTCGCAAGGATCAGTGGAGTCGAAAATTGGGAGTTCTTCAACTTTGTCAGAATTGGATAGTAGAACTCTTCAAGGTATAATCTTGAATTATTTTATTTTATTTTTTCCCCGAAATAAAAGGATCTATAGTTTTCTTGTTTTCATATAACAATCTTGATCTCCTGCCTCAGCGGGCAAGATAAAAATTTTGAGATTTTCGTACCACATCAGCATTGTGAAGCTTTTATCCTCTCACTAGGTATATGAGATTAATTCTATTTCATGTAAATGCTTGATAATGGTCACAATGTGTTGTCTCCAAGTCCTCAATAATTTTTTGGACCTTATAGTAGGATTATGTTGCACTTAAGAGATATTGCACTAGGTACTAGAGTTTGATTATTAATAATATTCAAGATGAAGAAAAATACATAATGCATAGGATTGGAACAGATTTGATGAAATTAATAAGTGTTGTTATGGTTCTACGTGTTTGGAAGATTCTTTACTACAAGCTTAAAGAAAAGTTCTGTAATGAATAACAAGGTCATGGATTTAGTGATGATTAAAAAATACTCCAAATAATGAATTCACAGTGCAATACCAACGTATACTATCAATACAGCGTAATTCACATTTTACAATTTCACATAATCAATTCACCGTCCAACTCGCAATTTCACAATGCAATTCATAATATTTCCAAATCTTAAGTAACTTGAACTTACAATTTCACAGTTCACTACAAATCTGAACTTCAATGATATTTTCCAACTCCAAAAAAGTGAACTGAGCTCAGTGCATCACAAACTTATTACTCACCGCTTGAGTTCAACAAGTGTCGTCTCATTATTTTTTCTGGTAGATACATTCCCATCTGACCTTACTTCCACAACCTATTGATGGGGAATAGTGAATGGACATAAACATGAACAAGTGAACCATGAATTAAGCTTAATATTAACTAGAGAGAATTCAGCTGCTTCATTTATTAGTTTATATGCCTAAAATGGACCATGGAAGGATAAGACAAACACAAGCTCTGCCTTGCAATATCTGTTGGATAAGACAAACACAAAGTTATTAAAATCTTATTTGTCATCAACCATATTACAAGAACGATTGAATGGATTAGTTTTGATATTTGTTGAGCAAGATTTTTTAGAAAATATTGATTATGAAAGTTTGATTTGTGAGTTTGCTTTTTAAAATATTAGAAGAAATATTTTTACATAATTTGTAGCATTTAAAGTTTTACACTTGACTTGATTTATATATTTTTTTCAATGTTTGCTTATATGGAATTGCAAAAAGAGGCTAGTGGCTTGGATAGTTCTTTATTGATGACATATGAATTTTGATGAAGTTCGAGAGATGCTTTTGAGATTTATTTATGTTTTTCTTGTTTATGTACGTTAAAAAATAAATAAAATATTTAAATATCATATTTTTGCAATGAAATAATATTATTAAAATAATTTTTTTTAATATATGTTTTAATTACTTGAAGAGGGCATCATTTTAAAATCTCGCACAGGGTACCCAAAATCTTAGGGCTGGCTCTGCCTGATTCTAAATACGTTGCTTGTTTGCTAAGTTGATTTTTATATTGCCAAATAAAATAACATGCAATGTAACATTTCCAACTCCAAATATTACTAAATTAAAAAGAACAGCAATTACAAATTTTCCACTCCATCACCACAAGTTACTTTCATATAGATTCGAGACAATCAATTATCAGAAATAAAAAAAAAATTAAATTAAGAAACAAGCCCTTCAGGAAAATTACCTCATAGACAGGTTCACGAATTCCAAGATTCAACGAATCCCCAGAGACAGAATTCGAGATCGGACTCCTCACCAAACCAATAGAACCGTTAGAGAACCCCTGACTAGCCATCTCCCCATCAGAAATGTCATCACCGACTACATCACCCCTATCCTTGTTTATTACTTCCGTCACATAGTCTGTATGGTTGTGGAGTTCAAGCTAATAAATAAACAAAAAAAAAAAAGACAAACAAAATTTCTGGGCTAGAGTTCAGATGCCCGCACTCGACCTAATGGGGCTCCGCCCCTGGCTGGAGCTTTTTAGCCTGATCTTCATCCTCAAGAGCATCATCTTAGTCCACTACTATTTCAGCTTCCATTGTATCATCAACAAGGGCCTAAGGTATCTTCTCAAAGAACTTAGCCTTTAGTACAGCAGTATCAAGTTCTTAGTAAAGCTCCCCCTACCTTGTCTACTACCTCAACGTAGGCAAACCTCTTCGAGTAGGAGTCGAAGCGCTGGTACTCTTTCGTCGAGTGGAAGTTGGTAATGTAGTCTTTCACTGCTTCCTGCATATAGTGCTTCATTTGGGTCTCATAAAACTCATTTGCATCTTTGAGCCTAGCATTTTCTAAGTTGGCCTTATCTAAAGCTTTGGCCCTTAGCTCCTGATGATTGTTTGAAGTTTTAACCTTTTTTGTCAAGGAAGCCACTTCGCATTGGGATTCATGGACTTCCCTCTTCAAAGCTTTGATCCACGCTAAGGCAAAATCCAAATTGGCTACCTTTTCTGTTCGTTGGGCTCTTAGCTCCTCAATTTCGACATCTATTCTTTTCATTTCTTTCTCTATTAAGGCCAACATTTCAATGGACTCTTGGTTGCATGTTTGAATATCCTTCAGCACTTTCTGACATTCCCGAGTGAGCCTAAAAGCACTGGCACTTTGGCTCACCAAGGTCGTCGTTAAATCCATTGCATCATATGTAAATACATAGGTCTGCCACCTATCAGTCTAAAACTTACAAATATTTGCAGTGGCACTTCGGACCTCAAGTGGAAGCATGTCCATCAATGTTGGGGCAATTTCCTCATCCTGCTTGGCCAAAAATCTTCATGATCTTCCAGAAGTCCTCAGCACCGAAGCCTTCTTCATGGCCTCGAGGCCTACTCTACATCCTTTGCAGCCTTTTCGCCGACCTCTATATTCTTTTGAGCTTTTTTAGCAGTGAAATAAGACCACATCAACTTTAGAGGCAGTGGAGTTGGGATTTGCTTGATCACTGGGGTACTTATTGTGCCAAAATTCCAAAGGAAGTATGGCCCGACCAACTGATTCCACCCATTCGGTAATAATTGGGTGGGAGCCAACATATATGACCTCAACAATGTCTAAAAAATGGGTGCAGAGGTAGACGCATACCCGCCGACAACCCGACCTCGAATAACATGTAAGTTCATGGGCTTTGGGTTCTAAGAGCTCTATAGAATCGGATCCTATATTTCTTCCCTAGTTCAACTATTTTGGCAAAGATCATGGCAGAAGGGATTTTGGCAGCCCCCATCTAGCTTCATAATAGATGTAACCTTCACTGATAGTCCAATTACCTTTGTTCGACCCCTAGCCACGAGTTGATCCCCAACCCTGGAGATGGATACCTTCTCGCTGCTAGTACTAAACCAGAAGCCATTGAAATTGAAAATAGATGGAATGAAGGATGGAAAGGGAAAAAATACCTAAATCAAAAGGAGCTCTAAGGAGTGTGATGTCGAGAACAGGAATAGCTAGAAAAGTTATGTGAATGCTGGAGAAATTTGAAGATTTTTGCGAAGGTAAAAAATTGATTCAAAGGTGGATTTTTGGCTTTTATAGGAAAGGACGACGAATCTCAGCCATTAAATCAAGATCTACTTCATTTGAAGCGTCCATTTTTCAACCATATCCGAGGCACCACATAAAGATAGGATGACATACGAGAATCATGTTTGTCTCATGTTATCAAGCTTCTCTCGTGTTAAAATTATCTTGTGTGGATGCAAGTGAGTCTGGTATCTGTTGTACACATTAATAGAACAAAAAGTGGGTTCATCAAAAACTATTAGAATATCATAAGAATTGTAGAAAATTGGACTGATTTTTAATTCAAATTTTTGTATCAAACAATTTTTTTTTTAGTTTTTTATGAAATAATTGTTTTTGTATTTGTCAAGTAAAAGTAAATGAAACAAGACAAATTTTTTTCACAATTTATTTATATTCTAGTAAAAAACATATACAAAATTCTCCATACAGAGAAAATATTATGAACTTCTACCAATTCTATAAAATTACACAATCACGTCAATGCCAATACAATTCATGTTATCAAAGCCCAACAATCTCAAACAAGTAATTTTATTAATCTAAACTCAAATGAACCATCGAATTTCAAGATTTGAATTCTCAACTGAGACGCCATTCTTAAGTTAAAATTGCATTAACTAAACATGCAATCCCAAAAAATTACTCTGATAATGCAATTAAATTAATCACTCCAAATATGGTAAGAAATCATTGAGACAATCTCACATTATAATTATTTGGCATTTTTTTTTAAAATATATATATTTTTCAAAAGAAAAATGGTGATGAACAAGCGTGTCACCATCAAAGATTCAGTTCAAACATCGTTGATAAAAAAAAAAAAAAAAAGGTTATGTTTCTAACTTTTTTCAAGTTTCGCCAAGGCAAATTGTTGCCAAAGTCTAGGTCTTTGGTTCCAGGTAAGAGTTGTGACAATAATAAATGGCTGAAAATTGTCGTTAACATAACTCAAGTGAGATAGCCGTATTATGGATGACCTTATTGGCCGATTAAGAGATCACTTATGAATGCGATAGCAAAAGAAATACAAAAAATTTTATTACTTGTCGAGTTTCTTTTTTCTCATAGTGATTATAAAGTTAGCAGCTTCACTACGTACCTTAGAGTTCGGCAACTTTCTTCTTTATTTACTGAAAATGACAGTGAATTTTTCTTCATACAAAATAACATGATTTTCATGAAAAATCATTCTTATACTTATCAGTTCAACATTTTGAGTACACCAAATTTAATAAGGAAATAGATGAAAAGCAAAAAAAAATATTATATATTTCATGTGGGTAGCAAAAGCACTTTAAGAATACATGAACCGTTGGGTACTTTGGTCCACATTCTCTCCATAACACAAAATAATACTTATCCATACATGCCATACAGTATAGAGGTGACAATCAAGCAAAATCCCATTTGCATTGCATGTTCAAGATTCCATTTCTTTCTCCCCCCATCTTACCTTCCTTCCACTAATTTATACGAGTCAACATCAACTTTCTTCTTCCTCATTTTCCTGGAAATATCTCCATTGAATATTATACTTGAATAGATAATCATATTTTCTCTAACCTCTTAAATTTTTGGACGAAGTGCTTCAATATAATAGTGGAATAAATAAAGATATTAGATTCGCAACAATGCTACATGTACAAACAAATTGCATAGATAAGCTTACACAATGTTACATGGCAACATTTCACTGAAATTTGTATCTAAAACAAAATTAAAACAGCTAATCATGTGTTGTCATCTCAACTCCTGAAAATTTGTCTTTTCAATTTATTTGTACAAGTTGAATTTCTGTTAGATTCGAGTCTCTCAAAGCTCCAATATTAGGTAAATTGTGCATGTATTAGACCTTTGGTGAAAAAATGAGCGAAAATAAGCATGATCAGCATGTGAGGATTGCGTCGAAGAGTGAATTCAAATAAACAAATGTTTTGTCTCTCTGACGCCCTGAGCTTTAATATTATGTGGCTCAATTTAATGTCAGAACACTCAAAGATCTTAGATTCAAGTTTTGTCGTCAATCCATATCACGAAAAATGTTGGAAAATGAAATTAGTATGCAAGTGAGGGGTCATACATAAATCTATATTTAAATAAGTAAATGTGTCATCAATGTTATATGCATTTTAAACTTTTAGACAAAATAGTTCAATAATATGCTTAAAAGTAACAAAACCTAAACCAGTTCTTCCAAACCAGAAGTGGGATAGGCTTAATCCCTACCATGCACTGCCTCAAGCTGGTGTAGAGGATCACTCTAATTTCAAACCTTTTGCCTATAAAAGGGACAGCAATGAACAACACATTTAAGTGGAAGTTGGGAGAGTTACATTAGAATCTCAAAATCAATTCAAGCATTATCATTTTTCACTTATAATCAGTTTTATTCTAGCAAAATTCAAGCAATATAGTCACAATCTTAGGAGGAGGAAGATGAGTTCAACAGTTGCAGATGCAGTGGATTGCAAGGGATATCCAGCTGACAAGTCCAAAACTGGGGGTTGGGTACCTGCTGTGCTTATTCTAGGTTCGTTTTCCTCTCATCGGCTCACCTACAATAACACGAATTAAGGCTTTCTAAGACGGCTAGACGTCACGACAGAAACCCATAGATATGCATTATTCTTAAGCATTGTAACTCTCTCTATAGTACTCAAAAAATTGTTGGGAAAAATATCCATTTAATTGAATTTTCCTGTGTGTACAAGTGTAGAAATATTCTATTTCTCAACCTTTTTTGGTATCTACTTTTATTGGAAGCCAACATGCACATGTACATCAGTACATGCATCAACAGCAAACAGGAAAAACTTCACAGAATTTAAGTTTTTTGCATTCCACTTAAAATCAGAAAAGTAGTTAAGTAAAATGATATTTTTTCTTACAGGGATCGAAATTGTTGAGAGGCTATCAACAATGGGAATAGCAGTAAACCTGGTGACTTACTTGGGCGGAATAATGCATCTGCCAAGTACAACTTCAGCAAATACAGTAACAGATTTTATGGGCACTTCTTTTCTTCTGTGCTTGCTTGGGGGTTTTCTAGCAGATTCTTTCCTGGGAAGATACAACACAATTGCCATTTTTGCTATCATACAAACACTGGTAATTGAATTATGTTTATATATATATATATATATATATATGTCTTAATTAGTGCTCCAATTTTCTTGCATATTAGGAGTCTGTGTGTAATTATTGAACCGTCCTATGTATCTGTATCTAAATTAAGCTTAAACTTTGAGAGAAATGACATATTTTATTTTAAACTTTCTCTTTAACATGCTCTCTCACGTGCAGAACGTTTTTATTTTTCATCAAATATCTTATGCGTGTTAAATGAGCAGTGAAAAAACTTGAATTCAATAATATCATCCCATCAAAATTCCGAAGTTTATATTGTTAGAGAGTGCACATGGTGTCTTTTTTTTTTTTTTTTTTTTTTTAAATCTAGTCTTCAAATTTTGAATGAAGTGCATGACATCGCACCATTATAATCTTCTTTACAGACTTACAGTAAAAGCCTGTAGTGGTAATTGGACACACGTAACTCTTTCAATATTGAGGGGGAACCGCTATAAATTATCTGTCTGTTTTCTTTTATCTGTGTTTCTGATTTGAGTTTACTTATTATTGTTCTCGTAATTTGATTTTTCCGAGTTAAAATTCAGGGAACTGGCCTGTTAGCACTGACGACGAAGCTGCCAAGTCTTCGACCTCCACCTTGTTCTCCTCATCATGCTAGTTGCAAACAAGCCAATGGATTTCAAATGGGAATTCTATACCTTGCTTTATATCTTACAGCGTTAGGCACAGGTGGCCTCAAGTCAAGTGTTTCAGGATTTGGAACTGATCAATTTGATGAGAAAGATGAAAAAGAGAAATCTCAAATGGCCTATTTCTTCAACAGATTTTTTTTCTTCATAAGCATTGGAACTTTGACAGCAGTTACTGTGCTTGTTTACATACAAGACGAAGTGGGTCGAAGCGTAGCCTACGGGATTTGTTCCATTTCCATGTTAATAGCACTTTTGATATTCTTTTCTGGGACGAGAAGATTTAGGTATTATCATTGAACCATCTCATCTAAAAATTTAATATTTTTTGAGAAGTGATAGGGTTATTTACTTAAATTTAATCTTCAATAGGTACAAGAAGAGCTCAAGAAGTCCTATAGTCCAAATTTTTCAAGTCATTGTAGCAGCAGTTAAGAAGAGAAATCTCAACATGCCTTATAATCTTGACATGCTGTATGAGGATACACCCGAAAACTTAAGAATCGCCCACACGGATCAGTTCCGGTGAGTATAACTATGTTATGGTTGCTTATCCACCATGTTGTATCTAAGGGCATGTTTGGCATGGCATTTGAAAAGCCAAAAATTAATTTTGAGACTAAGAAGTTATTTTGGCTTGTTTTTATCATATTAAAAGAGTTTTTAGAGGAAACTGGCAAAGACTACTTTCAAAAAGCTCTTTTACGAAAGGTAGAAACTATCCCAAACAGGCCTAAGACATAAACTCTAATATCTGAGATTCTTTTCGTTTCTTATGCAGTTCTCTGGACAAAGCAGCCATTGTAGCAGAAGTAGCTTTTGAAATAGGCAACAAATATTCATCTTCAACTCCAAATCCATGGAAACTGTGTTCAGTTACAAGAGTGGAAGAAGTGAAAATGATGGCAAGATTACTTCCAATCTGGGCCACAACCATAATATTCTGGACTATTTATGCACAGATGATAACTTTTTCTGTAGAACAAGCTTCCACAATGGAAAGATCATTTGGAAGTTTCATGATCCCTGCTGGCTCACTCACCGTCTTTTTTGTGGCTGCTGTTTTGATCACTTTGGCTGTTTATGATCGTCTCATTATGCCCCTTTGGAAGAAATGGAAAGGAAAACCAGGTAATAAATATATGAATACATAAATATTTCAGGTTGTAAGGAAATGGAAAAGGAAAAACGAAAATGTAACACAAACAAGTACAGATACTAGATTTTCTTCAAGTTAGAAATGATCTCTGATCCATGGTGGGTAAGATAAAACGTTACCAAATTAGAGGTCAAGCCTACAAGTTTTGACAATTCAACGTTGAATTGTAAGACCATACCTTAAACGGCCTCTACGAGAAGGGGTTTTATTGGCTAGCCAGATTCCAAGAGAATGGTAGTTTCCTTGTCGAGAAAGAAAATGGTAACATTCTATAAACTGTCTTGGGGTGCAGGTTTCTCAAACCTAGAAAGAATTGCCATTGGACTAGTCCTTTCAACAATAGGTATGGTGGTTGCAGCACTAGTTGAAACGAAAAGATTATCCGTCGCTAAATCCATCGGCCGGTCTACACAAACTCTTCCAATGAGTGTGTTTTTTCTTATACCACAATTCTTTCTAGTGGGTTCTGGAGAAGCATTCATATACACTGGCCAGTTAGATTTCTTCATTACACAATCCCCCAAAGGAATGAAAACAATGAGCACTGGTCTCTTCTTGACCACTCTTTCGCTCGGGTTTTTCATTAGCAGCTTCCTCGTCTCAGTCATCAAGAAGGTGATTTCGGATATTTGACTCGAACAATTTTCTCGAACTGCCATTTAGTTTATTTCCATTGTATTTATTATCGTGTGGTGGTACTTTTTCCAACAGGTGACAGGCAGTAATGGTGGCGAAGGATGGCTCACAGACCACATAAATTACGGACGACTCAACTGTTTTTATGGACTTTTGGCTGTCCTAGGATTCATAAATCTTGTGGTGTATCTCATTTGTGCTGTGTGGTACAAACCACAGCAGAAACCCAAACCTGCTGCCAAACAGATAGAGACTGCCGTGTTTAATGGAACTGCTGAGGAAAACTGCTAATGTTTAGTTGAATTTTGCTAGAAAAAAGTTTCATGGGTACCATGCAATCAGTGAATTGAAGTTTAACAAGTTATGTTTCTTCTTGTGTTTGATTTTCCCTTTTCTAAATTTTATCAGAAGAATTTCTAGTGTCTGTAATGTACACTTTATTCAAATCAATAGTATTGATGTCAGCTTATAAAGGGTATTCTTCATTTTGTAGATTTTTCTCTTTTAACCGACGTTTTACATATCATGTAGACTTCTTCATTAAGATACAATTCGAACTGATGACCTGACATTCAGCTGATCAACCATGTAGAGGTTTCAAGAGTTTACCCCTCCTAAAACTTTTCGTTTCTGACACAGTAAGAGAACATTGGTTGCTTACTTGAAAGTAACTTTTACTAGATTGTCAAAATATAAAATACTTATTTCCAACATTGGTCATCAAAAGAAATTATTTATTAAAACTCGCTTAATTACCTATAAGTAAACCTTTTAAGCTAAGACATGCTCTAAATATAAACCATGATGCGTAGCTCAATGGTCAGATCTTATATTTGCTTTTCAATGGTTACCAGTTCAAGTCCCCTCAGAACTACTAAGATGAGTACCCGGTTATAAACTTCAGGACCCCATGAAATTAATTGAGGTGCGCATAAATGGCAATAAAAACAAATTCTAACCACAATTGTAACAAATTATATCTTTTTAATCGACAATTTTCATAAAAAAAACAAAGTCAAACGAACACCAAAACATACAAATTTTCAACATTTTTTAGTTGAAAAATTATACCAATTAAACACATTCAATTGACAACTCCCAAAAAAACAAGTTTTAGGCAATTCAATTCCCTGAAATTCGTTTTTTTCCACCCAAATTTCATCCTTGCAATCAAACGGAACCTAAGATTACATTAACACTTATGAAGAAAATCTCTTTAAATTCAGGTAAAACACATCTCAACTACCCTTAAAAAATATAAATTAAGGGCCTTTAAATCTAGGTAAAATACTTTTCAATTACCCTTGTGATGAAAATCACTTAAAACACTTACAGATAAATGCCCATTAAGAAAGCACTAGCTCGCATTTGCTTACTCATACCTCATACGTAGTTGGTTATGAAAAAACCAACTTTACAAAATGGATAAGAATTGATTCTTTTAACATTCCGGTCATTTAGATCTCCCAATAGATCTAGCAATGGAGTAGAATGATGGAGGAGGATTATGTAACTACCCCCAATTTTATTGGGAACAGTAGTTTGTTGGGGTATAAAATTCCAGTCAACATAAATTTCTTTCCTATTATTCATTGAGAGAAAGATTAGCAGTTAAGATATCTCAAAAATCAATGTATGTGGACAAGGTAGAAGAATGTTGCAATCTACTGAAGTGATATATTGCATACCTAAGTCCAAAAATGGCTGGTTGGTTATTAATTAAAGATTCGATTGTTTACGCTAGATAGCTGTTTGATCAACCTAAGTTACACATTCTAAAGCAGTTTCGTGAAATCATATCATATTCTGCGAAAACAAACAGAATTCCAGGATCCAAAAATAACATTCTCCACTGGCTCAAATTCAACAAGAAAGATAAACCAACCAGATGGCAACCGAGATAACAAAGTTTAGAGCCTTCAAAAAACATATCAATGCATGGGATAAAATGACATGCAGAACAGGCAATCAACTGAACTAAAACCACTCTAAAACTCTACTAAAGAAGAGATTTGTTATTATAAATATCATATCAGAAAGAGTTGTCCATAGTGAGCCTCAAGTCATTCTCAAGAAACATACATAGAGCAACTTCACATTCCAAGTAACATGATGCAAAAACTAATAAAGCTAATCAAACAATTAAATTAGAATGACAAAAGACATGGAGTAAATTTCTAAGATAGCATACCCAAAATAGAACCTAGACTTCTCAGAATGCGTTGTCTAATCTTCATTCTTCTCTTTGCTCCGTGACTCATCCTACCGAAACAGCATTAAATAAAGGATCTAATATTAAATCAATTCTGTAATTCGTTCTTCTTAGTACCATTATTCTCGCCTTCACTTTCCTCCAGCAACCTACCAGCCTCCTCATCAGGTTGCTGAGCCTTCTTTTCTGCTTCTTTCGCCTTGAGTGCCTGCAGCTTTGAGTGATTATAATAAGCAACGCCCATGAAGGCCAACGCGTAACCAAGCAAATTGATTGGCGTCACAGTATCCTTAATCACAGACCATGAGAAAGCAATCAAGAGCCAATCTTTAACTACACCAGCCACATTCATGGTCAATGCAGAGGTCTTTCCCACTAGCAAGAATACCGCGAGATTCAGCGCAAACGCACAGAGAGAATTGGTCCCAAAAATGAAATAATCCAAATGGAAGCTGGAGGTCTCCTTCAACAGAGGATACTCAACGAAAACCCAAGGGAAAAACAAGAAAATCAAGCAGCAGGGTGCGACATAATAGAGAGAAGTTATGGGATTAAGGGTTATTCCCTTGGAAGTAAGCAAGATCTGGATCATAACAAGCCTGGTGGCCTCAAAAGCCACAGCACCCAATTGCAGTATAACTCCCCAAGTATCAAATTTAGCCTCCCCATAAGCAGCTATACCAACCCCAATAGAGATCGAAATCATATTCGTCATGGTCTCCGATTTAAAGATCTCCTTCTTAGAAAGAACCCCAATACTATACACAGCCACAGGCATAAGGGCCTTGAGCATTTGAATGAATGACACGGAGAGATAGATATACGCAGAATTTGAAAGCCATAGTGAAAGCGAATAAAGAAGCCCAATTGGTACCACAGATTTCAAATAAAGATCCCAAGACATAGTGACAGGTTCAACTACCTTGAACACGCGAACCAGAAGAAATGCCAAAGAAGAGCAAAAACTCATGTGAATCATTGTGAGAGAAATTGGGTACGGCCAGTTGTACATTTTCCGGTCCAAGATGTACTTGTTGTACACAATCACAGTGAAAGATAGGAAGATCCATATGGCGACATAGGTGTAGGAAAGTATGATCTTCTTCAGCACGCCTTCGCTCAACACTCCTCCTTTCGCCATTGTCGTCTGATGCGAAATCTCTGATTATAGGGTATCAGATTTTTCAGATCAAGCACTGAAGGGGGAATTTATGGCTTCCGGCTAAGGATTTATTGGTGGATTTGGGTGTTTGTAGACGAGTAGATGACAAAGAACTGAGAGGCGTTATGAGTAAGAACTCGGAGCCGGACAGAAGTGTACGAGAAGTGGAATTCAGGGTTGTGTAAAGTCGTGGGTTGGCGTGGGTTCGGTCACCGAACTTTGTCCCTGCTCTTTCCAATGATATACATTTTTTAATAAAATAATAATAAATGTAAATTTAATTAATTTTTTTTTTTTTAACTTTACATTCTTCAAAAAAAAATCACTGTTTTAAAATATATTTTTTTTCAAAATTTGATTTTAATGGACCCCATCAAAGGGCTATATTGGATAATAATTAAACTTCTAGATTTAGACAGTAGTTAAATCTCATCTAGGGTTAAATACATTAATAGTCATCGAACTTTATACTTTATATCATTATTGTTATCCAATTTGATTTTGTTTTACTATGACCACTTAACTTTATACTTAATGTCACCATTGTCACCTAATTTGATTTTATTTCATCATGACCATCTAATTTCATATAACATTTTACTAGGACTAACCAATTTTATTTTATCATTTTCATAATTTTAAAAGGGTGAAACTATAACTTTGTATTGAATATGTAAAATAAATTTTAAAAAAATAAAAGTTCTTTTTTATTTTAAAATACGTTTTTATTTTATTTTATTTTTCTAAGCAACTTTTTTTAAAATGAGCTTTCTCTTTTATTTTAAAATAAGTTTTTGTTTTATTTTATTTTTCTAAGCAACTTTTTTTAAAATAAGCTTTCTTTTTTATTTTAAAATACCTTTTTATTTTATTTTACTTTTCTAAGCAACTTATTTTAAAATAAGTTTTTACTTTATTTTATTTTATTTTTCTAGGCAACTTTTTTTTAAAATAAGCTTTTATTATTTTTTAAACGAACGTTTTTTTTTTAAAATAACTTTTATTTTATATTACTTTTCTGAGTAACTTTTTTCAAAATAAGTTTTTATTTTATTTTAAAAACTTTTTCTAAATGAGTTTTTATTTTTATTTTTCTAACTAAATTTTTTTAAAATAAGTTTTTATTTGATTTTTAAGTAACTTTTTAAATAAGTTTTTATTTTATTTTTTAAAATAAATTTTTTTAAAAATATTTAATATATAATGCAAAATTACCATTTTACCCATTTTAAAATTAGTGAAAATAGTAAAAAAAAAAAAAGTTGGGTAATTGTGGTGAAATGTTATATAAAATTGGGTGGCTATGATGAAACGTTGTATAAAATTGAATGACTATAAAATCAAATTGGGAGGCCACAGAGACATTAAGTATAAAGTTAGATATCATGGTAAAACAAAATCAAATTGAATGATCATGGTGATACTAAGTATAATGTTATTGAAAATTTTCTCTCTCTCCAAGTATTGAATTCAATACTTTTTACGACTTAAAACTAACATGTATACATATTTGGTCTCAGTTAAATAGTGGGTTTCATTGATTCAATACACATCAATTCTTAAATGACAAGGAGTTCGGAATATTATAATTTTCCCCCATTATTATTAGGGTGATTATATTCACACCACTTCTTTTCTTTTCTTTTTTTTAATAAATAAATACACCACATTTTAATTGCATTAAAGGATTTTAACCTTTATTCATTATCATACTTATATCTTTAACCTTTTCTTTATGAAACTCGTATACTTAATATTTCATTGATTAAAAATTATTGTCCTTAATCATAGTTTTCATCCAAAAATATGTTATAAAATGAGGGTAAAATATTTAATCATATTTTTTTATTATCATTTATTTGAAAATACGATAGTTGAATAAGTCTTTTTACCCCATCTTAAAGAAAATTTCAGAAGACAATCAAGAACAATTTATGTTAATTTGGGAATAAAAGTACGATAAAAAAGTTTGAGATATAAATGTGATAATGTGTAAAGATTATGAACATTTCATACAATTAAAATGTAGTTTGATTATTAAAAATTGTGGTGGAAATGTATTTAGCCTTATTGTTAGGTTTGGTTCTTTTAGTTCAATTTTTTTTATACATTTAGCCCTTATTTGGGGCACATTTTTTAGGAAATTAGTAGACAAATTATGACTGTTGAGATACCAGGCAAGACCCACGGTAAAGAGAAACAGTCAAAATCTGCGGCTAGAATTTGGAATCAATGGTTGGAATTCTCGTTCTTTTCCCTTAAAAATGTGTCCCAAACAGGGACTAAAAGATGTATATCTAGACAAATATCCAAAAATCAAGGACCTTTTGCAAAATCATATAAAAAATATTTTAAAACTAGAAAATATTAGGTAAGGTTTGATAGTGTTAGGTCAAGTCGCGTTATGGATACTTTAGTCACACAATAATTTTTCAAAAAAGAAAAACAAAAAAAAAAAGAAAAAATACTCTCAAAATAATTATGTTGACATATTTGAAATAAAAGGAAGATGTTCTATTTAAAGAATTCAAATTATACTCATGACATTCTAATAAGAGTGACATAGCATGTCATTTTATAGTGGATAACATTAATTCACATCCAACAGAATAATAAATAAATATAAGAAAAAAGCACCAATTTCATTGATTCTTAAAAGCACTATAAGATTAACCAAAAATTTTCTATTAAAACAAGGTTAAGGTCTCGCTTGGTCCCTCATTTTTTCGAATTAAAATAGATGAAATAGTATTTTTTTTAAAGATGAGTAGTTGAAAAAGAAGGAAAAAATTTTAGTTTATGTGTAATATTATTTTATGAAAAATTTTGTGATTGAAAATAGTAGAGAGAAAAATGAAATTTAATTTAATGGGGGTCAAACAGGGCTAAATTACATGGTGTGCAACATTTTCTAACTACAATTAAAAGAGGTAATGCCATGGCATTGAATCAACTGTTGGAATTCTCGTTCTTTTCCCTTGAAAATGTGTCCCAAACAGGGGTTAAAAGATGTATATCTAGACAAATATCCAAAAACCAATGACCTTTAGAAAAATCATATAAAACGTATTTTAAAACTAAAAAATATTAGGTAAGGTTTGATAGTGTTAGGTTAAGTTGCGTTATGGATACTTTAGTCACATAATAATTTTTCAAAAAAACAAAACAAAAAATACTCTCAGAATAATTATGTTGACATAGTTGAAATAAAAGGATGATGTTCTACTTAAAAAATTCAAATTATACTTATGACATTCTAATAAGAGTGACATAACATGTCATTTTATAATGGATAACATTAATTCACATCCAACACAATAATAGATAAATATAAGAAAAAAGCACCAATTTCATTGATTCTTAAAAGCACTATAAGATTAAACAAAAAATTTCTATTAAAACAAGGTTAAGCTCTCGTTTGGCCCCTCATTTTTTCAAATGAAATAGTTTTTTTTTTTTTAAAGATGAGTGGTAGAAAAAGAATGGAAAATTTTTACTTTATGTGTAATATTATTTTATGAAAAATTTTGTGATTAAAAATAGTAAAGAGAAAAATGAAATTTAATTTAATGGGGGCCAAACAGGGCTAAATTACAGTAGGTGTGTAACAGTCCGATTTTACCGATTTTTGACAGATTTTCAAATCAAACCGTTTAAAACGGTTTGAAAAAAACTCAAACTTAAACCAAACCATTTTGAACGGTTTGAAAAAAACTCAAACCTAAACCTAACTGTTTGGTCCGATTTTAAACCGTCGGTTTCGCCATATAATTTTTTGCCCGTGTACTTTTATATCATTAATTCATTGAATTTAATATATATTTATATCTCACTAGTAATAAATCTAAAACAAACTAACCCCTTGTTTAAACCAAATTTTTGGGACAAAAAAATGAAATTTTGGACCGTTATTCCACAAGTCTAGCCGTCTTTGTTGATCTGCTATTTTATGTGTGGGACCCAGCCTCCCCTCCAATAGTCAATTTTCTCATTATGATGATATGGAAAATATGGCTCAAATAGGAGCTAAATATATCTACTATAAATTTAAATATTAACTAAATCAAAGTGAAATCACAATAAATTAAAACAAAGTTTTTTTTTTTCATTTTTGTTCACCTTTTTTAGGCTAATAACGATATAATAACGTTACAATACAAGTTTACTAAACTAGATATAAGGTTCAAAAAATATAATGATACTGATTAAATAAAGAAAATAACCAACCACAATAATAAAATAATTGTTTATAATATCTAAACATAATAATTACACAAGTTTACGTTTGTATGATGTTACGAAACACATTTAATTTCAAATTCTTACCTTAGTTTGCTTCAAAAAATTATTGATCTGAAACTTTATTTGTAGCAAATATTATTACCGAAAGTCTAGGATCTTTTTGTCTCCGATTTAGTATAATGGACTTCAATTCAACTTTGAAGAGCGTGAAAAATCTGAAAAAGAAGTGTGTGGTGCCGATGACTCAAAACTGTGTTGGGTGTCGATTGGAATTCATCTAAATTTTGAAGAGCAAAAAGTCTTTTGATAGATTATGTTAGTCTTGAAATTATTATATATATATATATATATATATTATTGGATAATAATAATAATAATAATATATCTGTATTATAAAATTAGGAATTGACAAAAATACTCACAAATAACAAAATATTGAATTTTACATTTTTGGATGAATTTTCAAAAAAAATCATTTTTTCATTTTTTTATTTTTATATGTTTTTTCGTCGGTCCGATTTGGTTTTAAACCGCAATTAAAATTCTCAAACCTAAACCAAACCATTTTGACCGGTTTGATTTTGGTCAAAACCATTTCGTTGACCGGGTCCACGTGGCACCAAATCGACGGTTTCTAAAATGCGGTTTCAATTTGATTTTACGATTTTTGCTTACAGCCCTAAATTAC